GGGATGAAGTGCTCTTGAGCCAGGATATTAAGCTTCCCCCTTTCCTGGATCACACCTCCCATTCCCCCAGGCGCCTGCCATGAACCATAGGGCAAACATTTCTTCATGGAAGATATGGCAATCATTCACTTTAATCTATGGTGGAAACATGACTGAGCACATTGTTTTGTTTACACGGAGATTCCGTGTGCTGCTTGGTGCGAATGTTGTAATGTGTGCTTGATGGTGCGAATGTTCAGGTGCGTGCTTGATGGTGTGATTTGAGTGCTGCTTATGGCGTGAATGTTGAGGTGCTGCTTTGATGCGGTGGAATTGTTGAGGTGCTGCTGAAGGTGTGAATGTTAGGGAGTGCTGGTTGAATGTTGAGGTGGTTCTTGATAGTGTGAATGTTGAGGTCTGCTGGTCCGAAGTTAGGTGCTGCTTTGATGGTGTGAATGTTGAGTCTGCTTTGGTGCGAAATGATTGAGTCGCTTGATGTGTGAATGTTGAGAGGTGCTGCTTATGGTGTGAATGTTGAAGTGGTGCTTGATGGTGTGAATGTTGAGGTGGTGCTTGTGGTGTGAATGTTGAGGTGGTGCTTGATGGTGTGAATGTTGAGGTGCTGCTTGATGGTGCGAATGTTGAGGTGCTGCTTGATGGTGTGAATGTTGAGGTGGCTGCTTGGTGCGAATGTTGAGGATGCTACTTGATGGTGTGAATGTTGAGGTGCTGCTTGAGTGTGAATGTTGAGGTGGTGCTTGATGGTGTGAATGTTGAGGTGGTGCTTGATGTGTGAATGTTGAGGTGCTGCTTGGGTGTAATGTTGAGGTGCTGTTTGATAGTGTGAATGTTGAGGTGCTGCTTGCATGGTGTGAATGTTGAGGTGGTGCTTGAGGTGTGAATGTTGAGGTGGTGCTTGATGGTGTCGAATGTTGAGTGTGTGCTTGATGGTGGAATGTTGAGGTGATGCTTGATAGTGTGAATGTTGAGGTGGTGCTTGATGGTATGAATGTTGAGGATGGTGCTTGATGGTGTGAATGTTGAGGTGGTGCTTGATGGTGTGAATGTTGAGGTGGTGCTTGATGGTGTGAATGTTGAGGTGGTGCTTTGTGTGAATGTTGAGGTGCTGCTTGGTGTGAATGTTGAGGTGGTGCTTGATGTGTGAATGTTGAGGTGGTGCTTGATGGTGTGAATGTTGAGGTGGTGCTTGGTGTGAAAGTTGATGTGGTGCTTGATGGTGTGAATGTTGAGGTGGTGCTTGGGTGTGAATGTTGAGGTGGTGCTTGATGGTGTGAATGTTGAGGTGGTGCTTGATGTGAATGTTGAGGTGGTGCTTGATGGTGTGAATGTTGAGGTGGTGCTTGATGGTGTGAATGTTGAGGTGGTGCTTGGTGTGAATGTTGAGGTGGTGCTTGATGGTGTGAATGTTGAGGTGGTGCTTGATGGTGTGAATGTTGAGGTGGTGCTATGGTGTGAATGTTGAGGTGGTGCTTGATGGTGTGAATGTTGAGGTGCTGCTTGGTGGTGTAAATGTTGAGGTGGTGCTTGATGGTGTGAATGTTGAGGTGGTGCTTGTGGTGTGAATGTTGAGGTGGTGCTTGGTGTGAATGTTGAGGTGGTGCTTGATGGTGTGAATGTTGAGGTGGTGCTTGATGGTGTGAATGTTGAGGTGGTGCTTGGGTGTGAATGTTGAGGTGGTGCTTGTGGTGTGAATGTTGAGGTGGTGCTTGATGTGTGAATGTTGAGGTGGTGCTTGATGGTGTGAATGTTGAGGTGGTGCTTGGTGTGAATGTTGAGGTGGTGCTTGATGGTGTGAATGTTGAGGTGGTGCTTGATGGTGTGAATGTTGAGGTGCTGCTTGATGGTGTGAATGTTGAGGTGGTGCTTGAGAATGGTGTGAATGTTTGAGGTGCTGCTTGATGGTGTGAATGTTGAGGTGGTGCTTGATGGTGTGAATGTTGAGGTGTGCTATGGTGTGAATGTTGAGGTGGTGCTTGATGGTGTGAATGTTGAGGTGGTGCTTGGTGTGAATGTTGAGGTGGTGCTTGATGTGTGAATGTGGGGACAAAGTCTGTTTCAGGAGAAGCAGTATGCTCTGAGATGTAATTTTCTATTCATTTATGAGTGAATGATCTGCAATGTGAGAGAGAAGGTAGAAAGGAAGGTGGATGTTAGATGTGAAATGTGAGGATAAGTTGACATGGACAGGAGAGAGAGTTTCTTAGAGTTCACACGTTCAGGCTGCTTTTACATGTGAAATATTGCAAGTATTTCCATAAAATTCCTCATGGGAATTATTGAGAAGGTGAGAGCCCTTTGGCAGTGGCAGTCTGTCTTAGAGAAGATCTCATGACATGATGTTTGAAACATCTGTGATGTTGCATGTGAAAATATAATCTGAGGGGAAAGCACATGACTTGTTAAAACACAGATCTTTCTCATAGTTACAACGTGAGTTGAGGCAATACATGAATCAGGTTGAAAGTATGGTCATTTAAAATTCAAGGGTTATATTTAAAGTGATCTTTCCCTTCAGCTATTTTAACTCTAAATGTACATGTGGCATTTTGCGTAGTACATGAATGATGTATTTTAATTGACTTGTACTAAATTAAGTGTTTTTTATGTTTGGGTGGAGTTGGATGGATAAATCCTCCAGATTTATAGCTGGTCAGTATAGGTTTCCCTGTCTAACGTGAACACAAGTGTCCTGTCGGCTATTTAACATACACGTACATCGGGCATTAACTTCTAAGATTGCAAAGTAATGTTTATTGAATGCATTTATCCTCTGTTGTCGTTTAGAGGTAAAAAATAGGATGAGATTAGTGCCTCATTTTTAGCATGATAGCTGTCCCGTATAACGTTTAAAATTTATCGTATTTAAATATATAAGATTAAGTTTAAAACCTTATAGTATGGTTTTATTTGCATTTGAATTAGTGCTCTAGTTTGTTTGTGGCCTTAGTAACAAAAAAGTATTAAAGGCTTTTATGCAATATATCTTCGTAAGTAGTCCAAATATTAACGTGTAATTTTTTAAGTTTATCGCTCGTGAAAACTACTAAAGATATTTATTTTGAATCTTTAAGCTTCTCGGTTAATATCATGCTAAAACAAACGAATTTGTATCTATTATCAATTCTTTTCTTTGACTTATCACGACTGAATGGCTTTTGTATTTCAATATCCTGTAAATAAAACTATTGATGTATGATCTTGCCTTAATTAGCCAAGTCTTGCAAGTTCTACGACGCAGCGCTGTATAGCCCTTGTGGCTTAGCGCTTCTTTTTGATTATAATAATAATAATCTAAGATACGATATTTGTTCTTCACCTTGACCGTATGCGTATGTGAAGGAGCTAAGTATGTCAGGCCTTCTGCAGTGTTCCTCCATTCTTATGTTCTTATGTTCATAAGGAATACCATATGTCTGTGACCTGTGAGTGAACAATGTCGCTGCCTGAGGCTACAGCTGGATGGAAACTGACACTGTCGCTGCTCAAGGTTAGCCTTCACCAACCCTTGGCCCTCAGGCTACGACACCACAGCCGCAGATTTGCTTCGTAATCTTAAGGCGTTGTGAGAGGGAGATATAAAAAAATAATCATTTGAAGTATAAAAAAAATGATCATTTGAATTATCATGGGGGAGTGCTCAACCCGTAGGGATTATACAGCGCCTGTGGGGGGTGGAAGGTATTCAGGGAGCTAGAGCACAGATCCAATTCCCTAGATCAAGAGCCCCTTCCCAGCATCAAAATACCTCACCTGATGGAATAATCATTTGAAATATACCATATGACTAGTCGACACTACCGCTACCTCGTAGCGGGTATATAGTACAGCCAGTACACAGTGACGTACATTCAAGTCAGTATACTCAGATCATTAAAACAATTTCACTGAAGTACAATTATGCAGAAATTCATATGTAACCCTAAAACACATCTAATTTAACGTCAACGAGAAATTATCCAACGTTGCCAGAAGAGCATTTCTAAACACTGTTAAGATAAACGCTTCCTCATCTACTACTACTACTACTATTACTACTACTACTACTACTACTACTACTACTACTACTACTACTACTACTAAAGTTAAAATAAAAAAACACGAGAGTAGAAGATACGGGAAGTTTAATTTTAATCAACTTAGCCCATTCTATAAATTATGAACAGGACATTAATGCAAATCCTTCATACTTCGAAACAGAAACTGAGAGCATGCAGATGTGCTCGACGCCGGAGCCCCGAGTCCTGGAGTGGCATGTTATAAATCTTATATATACTACAATGGGCAAAGTCACCAGCAAGGGCAAGTCGCGTGCTCACTCTGCATGGACAAGAATGATGTTGATGATTCAACCCGTTTGAGGGACTACGGTAACTTCCGCAGGATGACATAACGAGGGATTTACAGATAAAATTCTAAGATTCTTTGATTACGGTGGAATTCAGAAAGCTATAAAAGCTGCTAATAAAAAAAATAATAGTTTTATAGAAAAGCTTGAGCTTTACATCTCAGCCCGCAGCGCTGTATGGCCCTTGTGGTTTAGCGCTTCTTTTTGATTATAATAATACATCTCAGCCCAAATACTGGTTCGCAGCAGAAAGACTTTTCCTACCTTAATTTCTTACGTAGTCCAGCGCTATCTATGATATACTACCATCCACCGTGTGTGTTCGTATGTGTATGTGTGTGTGTGTGTGGGAAATAATGTGTGTGGGGGGATATAGTGTGCGTGTGAGATTGATACATGTGTGTATGTGAAGGATGTAGTGTGAGGACGTGAAGATAATCTTCCGTTTGTTTAAGACCAGATTAGAGAGAATAATTTGCGATCGCCTTCTATTAAAATGCATTTTTTATTATATTGAGGATGGCCAGTTGGCCAAGAAGAGAGTTTACTTTTATACATGATTTTCATTAATCCGCGAAAAAAAACTTAATCGCTATCTGTTAAATAAATTCATAGTTTTTTTTTTTTTCAATATTTTGCTTTTTTACTGTTGCAGATGAGTGCAGGAGCCGCTGTAATGGATGAAGAAGGTTTTCCCATTGTTGCGAACGTAGACTTGTGTGGCTTTTACGCTGGCAGTCCTGGGCATCAAGATCAGGAATCAGGCGAGAGGACGAGCCAACAAGTGGTTGTCTTAAGACGATCTCCTGATGGCAGCCGTAATCAGTCAGACATGAGGGTGTTCAGTCGCAGTCTCAAGACCCAGCTTGATGCCCTGCGGTACTTCTTCACCCGCCGGGAGCTTCATCTCCATTGGAATTTCTTATCTTCGAGTCCCAATCTGCACCTGGACAGTCCTCGGATGCCATTTCATGACGTTTTTGATTCTCCTTCATCAAATCTGTCCTTTCCGCCAGCAGGATTCAGACGTGAGCATGAGCTGCATCTCGAAAAGATAACAACAAAAAAGCCCTTCAGACTTCCTCCTCCTCCTTCCTCTTCTTATAGTGAAAGAAAACCAAATAAAAAAGAAGTCAACATAAGCATATGGAAAGAGTTCTGCCGCGGCCAGTTAGCTTTCGACGACGGTGCAGTGGAATGGAAGGAACTGAAAAACAAGTGTAGATTCTGGATTCCTTTTCAGGTTGTCTTGGGAGATTTTGCAATTTTTTTGCCATGCTGTGTGATTTGGTTGCTTAGATTGATAGTAGTAACATTAAAAATATGTCTACCGTCCGTAGGACTGCAAATAGTGTACTATCACATTCTGTACAATCACATAAAAATTCACCTAATTGGAAACGAGAGAGGGGTAGATCCTGTATTTACTGGTGCAGTCTATCAAGGTCCCATAATATACAGCGTCAGGTATGCCAGCTGCCCTTACTGCAGGTACAAAAGGGAATCCAGAGTGTTGCTCAAGTATTTTGATAGCCTATGCCAAGAGAGAAGGGAAATGGCTGTTAGGTAGTGATGACCTGTGTGTAGAAACATTTGCTCGTGTAACCAGATACTCTACCCATGTAATGGCAATCAGGAAATCGCCTAATTATGAAAGTTTGCTCTTGATGCGGCATTTATTTTTTTTTGCTACGCAAAAAAAAAGAAAAATATGTACTTGCCACTGGTGGTTTACGGACAGCTGCATTTTATATCAGTTATATAACACATCCTCAAAAAGATGGCAATGAAGTCATCAAGATGTTCATGAATAAATATGCATATGAAGTACTATTGCTGTTGCAGTTATAAGAGATCAGAAGCATTATTTTGCTAAAATATTCCAAATGCAGTGCAGTAAGTTAAGAAAAGATCATCAGAATACAATTGATGGTTGGTTGGTCTCGGTGTAGTCTTAACTAAAGACCCTCACCGCCATGACCCCAAAAAAAATCCATATAGATGACTTGAAAATCAGTTGTAACTAAAAAAAAAAACTGTTTTTCTTTGGTCTGTGAGATCTGAAAACAGTATTAGTGTTAGAGCCCAGTTTTTTTTTTTTTTTTTTTTTTTTTTACATATATTCACTCTTATGATTATGGGGTCGAGTCTGCTCCTACGATTTTTTTCTCGCAGGTTGCCTGTAGCATCTCTATAAACTGAATATGGTGTTGTCTCCCAATACCTCGTGTGTGTACTCACCTATTTGTGGTTGCAGGGGTCGAGTCTTAGCTCCTGGCCCCGCCTAGTGTGTGTGTGTGTGTGTTGTGTGTGTGTGTGTGTGTGTGTGTGTGTATGTGTGTGTGTGTGTGTGTGTGTGTGTGTGTGTGTTGTGTGTGTGTGTGTGTGTGTGTGTAGTGTGTGTGTGTGATGTGTGTGTGTGTGTGGGATGACCCATGTTTGTTCTCACAATTTCTGAGTATTCAATTTAAGTGTTAGTTTCGAGTGACTGTAGCACACTGGATGCCATTCTAGCAGCTTCACATTTTCCCTGTTGATAGTGCTAAAAAAGATTTCCTTATGTATTTTCTCATTTAGGTCTCTAATGCCATAACTACGACGCCACACATAACAAAGGAGAATCGAACAAAAAAGATCAAATTTTGTGTCAAAGACTTAAGTGACTGACTCCAACGGGAAGAGGATTTGCACCTACTTATGCTTTTCTGGTGAACTGAAGGATAGCAATCAGCTCACATACTGAGTGTCCGTGGTTCGATCCCCGGCACGGATGGAAAAGTTTCCTAACACCTGTCGCTGTTCACCTAGCAGTAATCTGGGTGTTAGTCGATACTGTTGTGAGTCGCGTCCTGACGGACAAGATTAAAAGGACTCGAAAGGAAATAACAGTCCTCCATGACGCACTGACTTGTCCTGGGTGGCTATCCCTCCCCCGGGATAACCCATCCCTGAGATAACCCTCCCCCGGGATAACCCTCCCCCTGACTAACCCTCCCCCGAAAAACCTCCCCCGGTCTAACCCTCCCTCGGGCTAACCCTCCCTCGGGCTAAAATTCGATCAAAATCTTCTCACTGGCAGCTTGTTTGCTTCACCCCGCCTCGCAATATACTCTTACCTGACATATATATATATATATTATATATATATATATATATATATATATATATATATATATATATATATATATATATATATATATATATATATATATTATATATTAATACTTTATATATTTTGAAACTAAAGTTATAATTACTATGTAAAGCACAAAACTGTGTAATAAAACTGTCTTAACTTTGGTTATATAACTAAACCTTATTTTTCTCCTTGCCATGTGAGCTGTATATATTTTTCCATGAGAATTTAGAGACGCTACACTGTTGACAAATAATTTATATAGCAGCATGAACACTGATGAATTACACATTGACTTCCAGGTTAGGGGAATGATTACCTCAAATTCCCTCTGAAATTCGCTATTCTTCTTTGTTTAGGACTGATGAAGCCACTATGTGGCGAAACGTTTCCTCGGTTAAGATACTCATATGTTGCACGTGTCTAATTTATCAACTTGTCTGTTCTCTGAACTATTTATCTGTATGAACAATGATGACTTATACTATCATATATATATATATTATATATATATAAAATATAATATATAAATATATATATATATATATATATATATATATATATATATATATGTCGTGCCGAATATGTAAAACTGGTCAATTAGCAAGAACTCATTTAAAATTAAGCCTTTCTAAAATTTTCTCTTATACGTTTAAACATATATTTTTTTTCATTAATGTTAATGTAAAAATTTTTAATTTTGCACCCAAAAGAATCTTAGAAAACTTACCTAACCTTATTATAACAAGAACAATTTATTTAGCCTAACCCAACTATATATATTTTAGATTTGTTTACAATAATTTAATACTAAACAAATACAGTGAAAATATATTTTTTTCGTTAGGTTCAGAATGATTTTGGCGAAATTATTGCATACACAAATTTTTCACTTGTCTTATATGGCAAGAAAGAGCGTTGCTATTTAAGCCAAGATCGCAGTTCTGCCTTATCGGCACGACATTTTATATTAAAAATATTACAACTCTCAAACTACACCGCTCCATCTAATAATGTAAAGATTTAACAGTTTGCTTCATTAAACCAAGTTTGTGTGTAGAGGAGGCAAGAGGACATTTTTGGATTAACCCCCACACTCATATTACATTCCTTGTCCCTGGTGTAAGTCAACTCCCACTTGGCCATTGTTTCTGGGACCGATGTAGACTCTTAGCTGTGCTGTTTCATTCACACACAAAAATACGGAAAATTGTGTATCGCATCGGTTATCCAAAACTTATTTAGAATCAGCTCCAGATTATTATAACTTTAATTCAGATGCATTTGTCTCCTTTTACGTCTATCTAGAGATTCACATTCCTTTCCCTCTTTGTTTTGAATGTGACACGTCTCTAGCAACCTTAGTTCCCTTTCCCCTCCTGCATGGAGGGGAAATTGAATCAGACAGGACTACAAAGGGATCTGTACAGGCTGCAAGCGTGGTCCAGCAACTGGCTCCTGGAGTTGAACTCCACCAAGTGCAAATCAGGAAGATCGGGGAAGGGCAAAGAACACAGAGTACAGGCTGGGGGGCCAAAGACTGCAAACCTCACTCAAGGAAAAGGATCTAGGGGTGAGTATAATACCGAGCATATCTCCTGAGGCACACATCAACCAAATTACTACTGCAGCATATGGACGCCTGGCAGACCTAAGAATAGCGTTCCAATACCTTAGTAAGGAATCATTCAAGACTGTACACCGTGTATATCAGGCCCATGTTGGAGTATATAGCACCAGTTTCGAACCCACACCTGGTCAAGCATGTCAAGAAATAAGAAAAATTGCAAAGGTTTGCAATAAAACTAGTATGTCCTACGAGGAGATTATTATAATCATGGGGAGCTCTAAACCCGTAGGATTATACAGCGCATGTGGGGGGGGTGATGGAAGGTATTCAGGTTAAATTTATGGAACCGGAACACAGATCCAATTCCCTAGATCAAGAGCCCCTCACCTCCTACTAGGAGAGGTCAAGGGAAATCGACATGACAACACTGAAGGACAGGAAGGATAGGAGAAACATTGATAATGACATATAAAATACTGAGAGGAACTGACAAGATGGATAGGAACAGGATTTTTCAGAGATGGGACACAGCAACAAGGGGTCACAATTCCTAGCATCCCTGTGACTCAGATGAGTCATGGGGATGTTAGGAAGAATTTCTTCAGTCATAGAATTGTCAGGAAATGGAATAATCTGGATAGTGATGTAGTTGAGGCAGGATGAATACAGAGCTTTAAGAAGAGGCACAATAAAGCTCATGGAGCAAGGAGAGAGCGGACCTAGTAGCGACATTGAAGAGGCGGAGCCAGGAGCTATGAATCGACCCCTGCAACCACAATTAGGCGATCACACATACATGTGTGTGTGTGTATTATATATATATATATATATATATATATATATATATATATATATATATATATATATATATATATATATAATATATATATATATATATATATATATATATATATATATATATATATATATAATATATAATATTATAGATGGGGTCCACCTCTGATATAAATTGTGGGACTCAGTCTCGGAGAAGCGGATAAAAAGGCTTCAATTAAGAATATTTTTATTTCTTCCTAAAGCCGTTTGAATATTCCACTTCCCCTACCACCCCATCTTTTCATTATTTTTTACCAATAGGTCTATTTTATTACATAATATGGTACAGAAGATTTAAGAGATACAGTGTTGATATAAAGATGGCATATACAAACCATGAGATGTAAGAGATACATGTCTAGCACATATTGTTACGTGTTTGTCACTGATTATAATGTCACACACACACACACACACACACACACACACACACACACACACATATATATATATATAATATATATATATATATATATATATACATATATATATATTATATATTATATATATAAAATATATATATATATATATATATATACATATATATATATATATATATATATATGTATATATATATATATATTTTATATATATATATATATATATATATATATATATATATAATATTTTATATATATATAATATATATATAGTATATATATATATATATATATATTATAATATAATAATATATAATATATTATAATTGTTCGTGTGTGCATTAATATGTATAATGCTTGTGAGGCCGGTACATCAAACAGGAGTAGAATGCAATCAGCTATGAGCTTACCACAGCCACGTAAGTCCTTGCATGATGAAACGCCTAGTGCTACCAAGTACATGATGTTTGTAGGATTTTATGGCTCAGTAGTTAGAACGTAGTGGTTTTCGACTTGTTTCCCATAAGGTGGGCCAAATAACACAGGTTCGATCCCGTCTAAATATATTAATATAAATATATATTAAATATATTATTATATATATATATATATAATATATATATATATATATATATATATATATATATATATATATATATATATATATATATATATATATATATATATATATATATATATATATATATATATATATATATATATATCTTTCAACACACCGGCCGTATCCCACCGAGGCGGGGTGGCCCTAAAGAGAAAACGAAAGTTTTTCCTTTTACATTTAGCAATATATACAGCAGAAGAGGTTACTAGCCCCTTGCTCCCGGCATTTTAGTCGCCTCTTACAACACGCATGGCTTACGGAGGAAGAATTCTGCTCCACTTCCCCATGGAGGTAAGAGGAAATAAACAAGAATAAGAACTAGTATGAAAATAGAAGAAAACCCAGAGGGGTGTGTATATATATGTTTGTACATGTATGTGTAGTGTGACCTAAGTGTAAGTAGAAGTAGCTAGACGTACCTGAAACCTTGCATGTTTATGAGACAGAAAAATGGACACCAGCAATCCTACCATCATGTAAAACAATTACAGGCTTCCGTTTTACACTCACTTGGCAGGACGGTAGTACCTCCCTGGGCGGTTGCTGTCTACCAACCTACTACCTATATATATAATATATTATATATATATATATATATATATATATATATATATATATATATATATTTATATATATATATATATATATCTATATATATATTTAGCCGGGATCGAGCCTGTGTTATCGTTCCGAATAGGTAAAACTTGCGATTTTGGCTTAAATAGCAACGCTATT